GTCAATACACTTACCATGTTCTCATAGCAGGTAGCATGATACCAGTCCTGCAGCCACTATTTTCATTCAGAATTTAAGTAGGACAAGGGTCAGAGACATAGTAAAGATTATAAGGTACTGACTTTGTACACACTCACCTGGTTTGCTCATCAACACCACATATGATCCCAGGAGCAATGTCAGCAGTGAGCTCTAGCCAGGAGTAAACCCTGAGCGCAGCTGAGTGTAACCCACATAAATCCTGCACACTCCAACTTTTAAATAAGATCATAGAGAGTCTTGGTGCAGTTCTCATTTGCCTATGCCCCAAATGATTCATCCCATGCATTAAAACACATGGAAACTCTAGAGGTAGGATGGAGTAAATAAAAGCTTGAGCTCCACAATGGTCTACAAGTGAGAAAAGATACTTACAAAAGCGTTATCCTACTCTTACAGGACTTACAGTAACTTCCACTGATTATCAACTTTCCCTTTCCCTGCTGAAAACTGCCAATCTCCTCATACATAATCTAGACCTGATGTGGTATTTCACAGGCTGCCAGTAAAGAACAGACTAATGCTTCACAGAACTCAAGTTTCAGAATCAAGCTTCAGAATTTCCTGAATTACTACTTATAACAATATCCAAGAGTCATAATGCTCAGTGCCCAGAACCACAGACACACATAAAATGAAAAGAAACTATACAATCACTCTGCAAGCAATCATGGAATTTATTTTTCTGACCTCTGACTCATGTGAACTTCCTTCCCTCTTTTCTTCTCCATCTTTAGCTTTTAATTTTAAGGTTGGATTCTGAAAGAGCAAGAAAAGAGCAAAAAATTTAAATTCAATTTTGAATTGAATATACATTTGCATTTCAAAATAAAAATTCATCACAAATCAATCTCAGGACTAGAGAATTTACTTAAAAAAAAAAAAAGACATTTTTAATTTCTGTAGCACTTCATTCACCACCCGACATTAAGGTAAAAGGTTTCAGGGATGGGAGTGATAATACAGTGGATAGGCCACTTCCTTGCAAGCAGCTGACACGAGTTAGACCCCAGGCACCCCATATGTTGTCCCCTGTGCCCCACAATGAGTGATGCCTCAGCAGAGCCAGGAGTAATCACAGTAACAAACAAGCAGGTTACAGACTTCAGAGTAGAGATAGGTGCCTTGCACGCAGCTGACCCTTGTTGTAATTCCCAGTTCGAATTCCCAGCATCACATATGGTTCCCCAAGCACTGCCAGGAGTGATCCCTGAGCACCACCAGGTACGCCACCTAACAACAACAACAACAAAAAAAAAAAAAAAAAAAAAAAACAGCCCTATAACAGATTTTTACACTGAATGTTTAAGTACACGCAGTCGGGCTAAAGAGATAGTAGAAAAGTAAGACACTTGCGTTGCATGCAGCCAACCTTAGAATGATCCCAACACCACATACGGTGGTGCAAGCACCACCAAGAATGACCCCTATGCACATAATTAGGAGTAAGCCACGTCCACATTCAGTCTTCTACAACCTTCTTTTAATCGGTGCATTTCAAGATTTATCCCATTAAATTTTAATTTAATGGGATAAATCTTGGTTATCTGGTTATTTAATTTATTTTGGTTATTTAATTTATTTTAGCGGCTATCGGGTGTAGCCGCTAAAATAAATTCATCTGGGGGATATAAAGTAACAAAATATGAGATTAATACCCAAGAATAGCTGAGATCAGCACCAGGAGGATTACTCCATAGCTTAGTGGCCAGCCGGGCATTCTAGAGGAAAGGGCAGCTCAGATAGAGAAGGGAGCACCAAATAAAGGGTGTTTGGAGGATCCTCCCAGGAGGGGAGATGCATGTCAAAAGTAGACTATGGACTGAACATGTTTGCCACTCAATGCCTCTTTTGCAGACCACAACACCCAAAACGAGAGAGAGAACACAGGGGATTGCACTGCCACAGAGGCAGGGGAGGATGGGGGGGATATTATCCATGGTGGTGGAAAATGGGCACTGGTGGAGGGATGGGTATCTGATCATTGTATAATTGAAACCGAAGCACAAAAAATTGTAAATCTACAACTGTACCTCATGGTATTTCACTAATAAAAAAAAAATCAATAAAAAAAATTAAACTAGACTAAATGTGGTAGAGGGAACAAATTCCCATCTTCCCAAGATCTTCCAACATTTTTCCTGCATCTCATCCAAAACTACACTTTTTTAGTAAGGACTGGGAGGTAGTCCAAACGAGACTACAAGCAGCTGGGCATGCACTAACCCAGGCTCGGTCTCGGTACTGCAGGGCTTCCAGTGCATCACAGGACAGGGGCCTAAGACAACCAAGAAGCAGCAGTGGTGGCTCCTGAGGTTTGAGCATTGAAGTGGTAGACTGATTAGCTGAGAATGGCTGGGTGTGGTCCCTGGGTATCCTGAGCACCAGGAGGGAGGCCCCACATATTAAAAATAAATTAACTAAAATGACATTTTGAAACCACCTTTTATACTAAGTAGCTAAAATGTAGCAACGAATCTATCTGAAAGACAATATCTAAAAATAAAAACATACAAGAAGCATTGTGGGAACACTACCACTTTTTTTGTTCTGTTGTGTTTTTGAGACACAACCAGTGGTGCTCAGGAGCTCTGTGCTAGAGGTGATTCCCAGCATTATTTGGGGACCATGTGGTGCCAAGGGCTCAAAGCTGGGCCTCCGTGCATTCCTGCCTGTTGAACAATCTCTCTTGCCTCCCACTGACACATTTTAAGACACATCAGACGTAATCAGTGATGGTATCTTACTTTTTTTTTCCCTAGAAGTGTCTCCTAAAATAAGATGTGGAAGTAGTTACAAAGGCAAATTTAACAAAGACTAGTCTTTAGGATTCCAGTGTAAAAGAGTTTTTAACGCTGAAAAGGCTAACGAGGAATACAGGCAGCTTGAGCATCAGTACTCGGATCAGGGGACTTAACTGAGCATTTGTGCTGATGAGATTTGAACACAGATAAATCAAAGCTGGAAAAGGATGTATTAAATAGAAAATCATGTGCCCTGCCACATGGGAGAAGCCACTACTCACATCCAGCTATCTGCTAGTATATGGCCAATTGCGACTGACATTACTGGGCCTCTGATTTTTGGGGCGGAGGAGAGACCACACAGTGGTAGTTGGTGAATCATGTGAAGCCAAACTCCCTTTGAGCCATCCCTCCAGCCCAGAACTCTAATTCCTGAACCTCCCGCCTCCTGCCTTGTGTGTGTGTGTGTGTGTGTGTGTGTGTGTGTGTGTGTGTGCGCGCGCGCCTCTGAAGGGCCCAGAAAGCAATCCTCTCAATTCTTGGCCAGCTGGGCCAGTGGCTTGGTGCTAGAGCCGAGGATGCAATACTGCTTGAGCCCTATGATGCTGAGACCGCCCTGTGGTGCTGGAGGGCCTCCAGGGCCGCCTCCAGTGAAGCCTAGGGAACCTTGGGGTGCTGAGAATCAAACTGGGGTCAGCCATACAAAACACATACACTTTAATCCCTGTATCTCCTCTTTCCCAGAACTCACTTTTTTTTGTTTTAGTTTTTGGTTTTGGGGACACACACCCAGCAATGCTTCAGGGCATAGTCCTAGATCTGCACTCGGGGACCACTTCTGGTGGGCTCGGGGGAACCATAGGGTACTGGGGACTGTAGACTGTACCTGCGTCAGCCATGTTCAAGGTAAATACCCGACCTGCTATATTATTGCTCCAGCTTCTCAGATTTTTAAGAAAATCTGGATATGCAGTACTTTACATGATGCCGTCAGATATTTAAATGTTAAAAAATATTATTTAAAAAAACTTTAAAACAATATCAAGCAAACAAACTAAATCTGTGTGAAAAATTTGGCCAAAGACTATCAGTGTGCAACTTATGAAAAACACTAAATTATAAAGAATAGTAAATCTGTGCTACATTAGCATCACATTACTCAAATTTTAAATGCTATATAATTTTATTACATCTTATAAAGTATATGCTTACATATCTTAAGAGTATGCAATTAAACTGTTTATGGCAGAAAATCCACTTTTGAGGTTAAACATAACATAGCTATTAAGTCTTGAAGCAAACTGGAAATAAAAAGTTCTCTGAATTTTAGCTCCAGAGAATGAAGCCAGTACTCTAGGCTGCCTCTCAACACTGCCATGCATGTGTCATCGTTCATCCACAAAACAAACATAACGGTGAGCAACCAAACAAATAAGTAATGACATACCTTCCTGTCTGCTTGCCACTGCTGATGCTCCAAAACTATGTTTTTGATATTGTCAAAAAAATCATCCTTTATCAAGCTGAGGGCTTTATCTGGATTGGATTTATCAGCTGAAATGATATGCTTCATATTCTGATAATGGTCATGAACATTCAGCATTTCCTAAAGGTAAAAAAAAAAAGAGTCCTTTATTTCAATTTCAACTTGAAGGCAAAATAACACAAACTAAATTCACCTTCGACAATGATTGTGCTGATAAGGAACTAACAGACACAGGGTCAGAGCTTAGTACAGCAGGTAAGGTACCTGCCCTGTTCACGGCCCAACTGCGTTTGATCCCCAGCATCTAATATAGGTGCCCCTATAATTCCTGAGAGTAATTTCTGAGTGCAGAGTTAGAAGTAAGCCCTGATCATTACGGAGTGTGGCCCAAAAACAAAAAATGTATCTCAATGATAGTCCTCTCTTCTTAGCATATACACAAATATCTAAGCATGTGTGTATGTGCGGGTTGGAACAATAGCACAGTGGTAGGGCACTTGCCTTGAGCGCAGCCAGCCTGGCCGAGCCAAGTTCGATTCCTCTGCCCCTCTCGGAGAGCCCAGCAAGCCACCAAGAGTATCTTGCCCACAGGGCAAAGCCTGGCAAGCTCCCTGTGACTGACATATTCAATATGCCAAACATAGTAACAACAAGTCTCAAAATGGAGACGTTACTGGGCCCACTTGAGCAAATCGATGAACGGGAGGACAGTGACAGTGTGACAGTGTGTATGTGTGCGCGTGCATGAGCATGTGTATACACACGTGACACACATACAGAGATGTGTGCATATATACATATATATGCAAGCACACACAAATTCAATTTTTTTGAAATGTGAACACACCACTATTTAAAAAGTTGTAGTTCTGTAAAACAATCTTGTTTGAATCTCAGGGAAGAACCATTATAACAAAACTCTACAAGAAATACTATTTATCCATGCATACATATCCATGAAAAAAAAAGAAAAAGATTTTCCTCACAAATTATACCACACAAGTAAAGCTGTTTTAAGACCATACCTCTTACACACAGTTCTTTAGAACAAATTTCTGTTTCATCAGAACAGCCTCGTTGTCAAATTTTTTTTTGGTGATCATTTTTTATATAAACATTGTAGAAAGGAACTCAGAAAATCAACGTCAAAAAAGTTTAAAGTTTTTCTTTATGGACTATGTCAATCTAAAAAAATTATTTCAGTATTTGAATCCAAAAATACCACATTCACATTCAGTCTTCTATAACCTTCTGTTAATCAGTGCATTTCAAGATTTATCCCATTAAATTTTAATGTATTTAAGATGCGTTATTTCTGATTCCTGAAAGTAAAAGCAGTCTATGGTTGTTTAAATGAGAAAAGTTTTCAGCACCCAGTAGAGAACAGTATAACCTTAATATATACTGACCAACAAAATATTTTTTTAAATTCAAGTATGCAAGTAAATTTACCTCTAATACATCAGAAGTGATAAGTTTCATCACACGATCATTTGGATCCTTAAATTCTTCTGTAACTTCTGCTCGTTGAGCTTTTTTCTTCATTCTGTATGACAACTATAAAATAAAAGTCTTAAAATCAATGCTTTTTAAAGGATTTTGGGGAGAATGAAATATAAGCTGGCAATAAAAGTGCTAGAAATAAACCTATCCAGGTTTGTTAGGTTTGTAAACCTAACAAAAGCAGCTCTATGTATCCCTGTGCTAAATAATCCATTATCCAATGACTACAATAACTTAATATACCATGCCACATGCTTAAAAATTCAGGTAAGATTCAGATTTATACGACTTGCCTGTTAATGGTAAAATCCAAACTGGAACCTAGTGTTCTTTCAACTTACTGTTCTGTCTCAAGACTGATAAAATAAATTAGTTGAAGTTTCAAGTTTTTACAAATGGACACTGAGATTTCTGGTCCTCTATCAGTAAACTCTCTAATGTTTGAATAAAAGAATGAGCAAATGCAGATGCTAAATCTAATTTTCTCTAACAGTTTGCTGAATAGACAGTCTCCAGAAACACACTGCATTTGAAAGTAGAGACTGAAGTTGTTTACACAGAAAAGTAATCAGAAGTATTTTCTCCTCTTTTAAGTAGGCCCTCTCAGCCACAGAGAATTGCCTTGAATTTAGGAGACCCTAAGTTTCACCCCTGGTTCCAAGAAGGTGGGGGGGGGGGGGCAGGAGGAGAAGCTTTCTATAGATAATAGAAATTATAAAAAAATTCCTTTGACTTTTTGAGACTGAGGTACTTAGTGGACAATCAGAAAACATATCTCAAGGAACATACCAATTTAGGCATCGCTGTATAGTGAAATGCTTTATCTAGTCGTAACTTCCTAAAAATATAAGCTGCATCAAAATGTTGGGCATTTATCAAATCTTGCTGAAATTTTAAAACTTCATCCCAATCTTTCAGGGCAACTCTAATCTGCAAACAAGAAGAGTAAAAAGTTGTTACCAAATATAAATTTTTTTCCCCATAGAAACATTATAACTTCAAAATACTGGTCATTCAATTTACATCAGTTTGTGAAACTGATGTAATTCACAAAGTATTACCTTTTGTTTTGGCTGGCATAACTGGGTATTATATAATCCATATAGCAGGTACAAAGCACCAACTCTTATCTGGAAGGTATACGGAGGTAAAAAATATCGCCATGCCAAAGCTAATGCTTCTTTTGTAAACGTGTTCTTTTCTAAATTTCTCATTTTACCACTAGAAAACAAAAGGAAAATATATTATGGTTCTAAGTAAATAACAGCAGAAACCAGGAGTGATATATAATTGCTTAAATTGCAGTTTTTAGAACTGAGTGAGATTAGTGGTTACTACAAGGAAAGGAGGAAGATATAGGAAAATCAGGCAGAGGGGTCAACTGTACAAAAAAAAAAGGACTGAATCCGATTTTTAATGATGTGTATACATGCACTTAGTTTTAAAGAATTCTTACTGAAACTTATATGTTATAATGCAATGTTATTTGAGAAAGAGAAAAAAAATGATAAATATCCCACACCTGACCTTTTCATGATTCAAGGCGCAGATATCTGACAAACACATATCTTTTTAAAATATTTTACTAAAGAACTGTGATTTACCAAGTTTTGATAGTTTTGTTTTAGCCATTTAATATTTTATCATCAATCTCACCAACAGTGTCAACTTCCTCCCACCAGTGCCCCATATTCCCTCCCCACCCCAACCCCTATCCTATCCCTGTCTATCAACTTGGCAGGCACATTATAAAGTTTCAGTGGCTGTAGCTTAGATCTCATGATTACAGTTTCATTGAGCATGTTAAACATGAATCTCTCTAAAACCTCAACTTTACTTACTAACTTGGGAACAAAAAAGGGAGGAAAACAGTTACAGATAAACTTACATGTATTATTCAAATATAATAGAAAATTTCCCCCCAATACTTTCAGGGACTTATTAAGAAGTATTTGTCGGTTGGTTGAAGCCATAGGATATTGGGTAGGATGCTCACCTTGCACACAGCTAAACAAGGTTCCATCCCTGGGCCCTCCAGGAATGATCCCTGAGTGCAAAGGCAGGAATAAGCCCTAAGCATCACCATGTGTGCCCCCCAAATAAAACAAAACAAAAAGTAAAAAGCATTGGTCAGTCTAGAGAGAGAGTTCGATTGGTCGGGTTCACTGAAAGCCAACAATACAACAAAAGTCTACCACTATTTCTGCTTCTTCCACTCTTGGCCAATTCCACAGGACAGCTCATCAAAGTAAAGAAGGAACAGGACAAGAACTCAGACTTAGCTCTTCATACTAAGAGCCAGAGAGATATTTTCTCTGGGTTAAGGTTCTAGACATGACAAATTTGGGGAGGCAGGTGGGGGAACCACCAAAAAAAAAAATCCTATAAAATTCTGTGAAAAACATGGCAGTTATTTAGGAAAAGAGAACGGATAGGGTGAAGAGAGGGGGGAGAGAGGTGGTTATTTTGATAGAATGGTGACTCTGGAGCATCTGTGGTGAATATGGAGTGTGAAGTCATACTCCTGATATAGAACTGCAAACCAACAGTAAACCAGTAACATTTTATGAAAAATTAATTCCAGAGGGGGTAAGAGCGTTAATTCACTGGGTAAAGGGCTTGCCTTGCACGCTGCAGACCCGGGTTGGATTCTCGGTATTCCATACGGTCTCCAGAACGCTGCCAACAGTGATCCCGGAGTGCAATCCCTGAGCATCGCAGAGTGTGCCCCACACCTCTCCCTGCCCAATTAATTCCAATGATGCTATCCCAAGTTTTATGGAAAAGTTCACACGATCATATACTTCAAAGTTGTACAGAAATATGGTTTTAGAGGCTGGAGAGCTAGGATCACAGGTGAAGCGCTTGCACGTGGAGACTCGTTTTGTTCTATAGGGTCCTTCAAGGCTCAGCAGGCCACAATCCCTGATGGCATAGTAGGGTGCGGCCCAACCCCCTGCTCCCATCTAATGGAGTTCAGTGCTTATCAAAAACCATCTTACTGGGAGCTGAAATTAAAATAACATTTACTTCATTTGGAGAGGTCTGTTCAAATTATACGTTCCATACTTTTTAATAAAATAATCTAAAGCTGACTTTAGTATTATAAATCGTGTCCAGAGACATAAGTTATGATTTTGCAAAGTCTAAATAAAAATTTCACTTTTGTTTGGGAACCCCACCCGGAGATGATCTGAAGATGATTCCGGACTCTGCTCCTGGGATCACTCCTGAAGTGGCTGGGGGAGGTGGTGCGGGGGGGCTGGCGGGGGGGGGACGGGGGGGGGGGGGGGGAGATCATATGGGGTGCTGCCGAGGATAGAACCCAGACCGGTGGTGCAAGACAAGCACCCTACCTACCCGTTGTACTATCGCTCTGCCACCCTCTCCCCAAATTTCACTTTTTAATACACACAAGACACAGAAACACTGGGTGCTTTCCTTGCAGGCTAATCTGGGTTCGATTTCCCAACTTCACAGGCCTCCCTGGGTATCTCTCAATGTGGCCCAGGGGGTACTACCCCCTGGGGCGGAGGGTAGACGTGCAAACTCTTACTCCAAGGCCAGAGAGGAGAGTGCAAACTCTTACTCCAAGGGCGAAGAGAAGTGTGCAAACTCTAACTCCAGGGAGGAAGAGAGCGCGCAAACTCTTACTCCAAAAACAGAGGAGAGCGTGCAAATTCTTAATGCAAGGACGGAGCGAAGCATGCAAACTCTTACTCCAAAGGCGAAGAGGAGCATGCAAACTTTTACTCCAAGAGAGGAGCGGAGCATGCAAATTCCTACTCCAAGCACAGAGGCGAGCAAGCAAAGTCTTACTCCAAGGGCAGAAGGAACCGTGCAAACTCTTCCAGCGTTTGTGACCCGGCGGAAGCGGGCGGGAGACAAATACCTACCAGAAGATGGTCCCGAACTTCATGTTCCTCCAGAGTTCGGTGAAATCTTCAAAGCGCACGCTGTCGGTCTCCTGGAAGCGGCTGAGCAGCGCCTCACAGTCGGCCTGTAAGCCTGGAGGAGTCTCCATTCCTACAGAGGGCCAGAACAACGCAAGCTTGGAGCTGTCACCGAGGAAACAGGGCCCGGACAAGCCCGTCCCTGCCACGTGACGCGCCCGTACACGTCCCTTCCGGTCCCGTTAGCCCCGCCCACTGTGGGCGATGCGGACCACCTTCCTGCGCGTGCGTGTTGCGTGTGCTCACTTTTCTGGTTTTTCACGTTTTCTTTTTTTCTTTGGATTTTGAGCCACACCAGCTGTCGGGGACCAAACTTGGGTCAGCCGCATGCCAGGCAAGAGTCCCACCCTCTGTACTGTCTCTCCGGCTCCTGTTAACTTCTTGATTGATTCTTCAGCGAATCCGTTTTTTAAATTTTTTCTACTAACTTGGCTGTGTCGTGACCCTTAGGAGGAGGGGTTTTAGGGCATCACAGTTCCCTCGTTTATGTAAATTGGTTTACTCTTACAGTCACACTCTTAAAGTGATCCCAGAATGATAAGTCAACTGGAATGGCTAGGGAAGAAAAGTTCCTCCCAGCCCATGTGGGAGAAGGATGTAAAGAAGAGGGTTTGCTAGGAAATGGACTGTCCCACATATTACGGTCCCACATATTGCTTAAGGTGTAGCCCTGACAGCCTTCTTCAGCCGCTCAAGAAGCTCTTGTTAAATACAGCGCGCACCAGAAGCCCCTACTCAGATTCTACAAGTGCAGTCCTTAAAAGCATCTACATACTAAATACTTAGTGATTAGAGTGAAGACTTTCTGCGAACACTGCACCTCTTACCCTGAAGCCAGCGATAGAGTATTTGCGCTTTTCATCCTTTTTCCGATTGCACGGCATGCTACTTTTGTTCTTTAGAATAAGTATCCTAAAATAATAGAAACACACTGGACTTGTGCCTGTTGATGGAGATGGCAAGTCAACTTTTCTCATCATTTCATCTGTTTTTTATTTTTATGTTACCTTTATGTTTTGTATATACAGAAAAACTTACATACCCTATCTTAGATGGTATGGATGGGGTTGGATTGTGTGCTTTGCATGTAGGAAGCCCAAGTTTGATCCCTGGCAACACATGATCCCCAGCACTTCCAGAAGGACCTACCAGCACAGGCCCTGGGGGTGGGGGGAGGAGAAGAAGAGAGAGGGGAGGACTGGAACATATCTAGCAGAATCTTACCAGCACTGTCAGATCCATCCGTGAATTACTCTGGTCTATTGCTTTCTCCTACCTCTACCACTATCTTACTTTGTTTCTTTTAATCTTGTGTGCATACCTATGTGTATAATGTTATCACAAGTGTATTCATCTCTGATAATTTAGCAGCAATTGGTTTTCAATTTTGAAGAAAAAAATTTAATGATATTGCAATTTATAATAGTCTTTTAATTAATTTGGGGGCTATACCCAGAGGCACTCAAGGGACCATTTGGTGCTGGGACTGTAACCCAGTGTTCCTGCATGCAAAGTGTGCATTCCAGCCCTTTGAACCATTTCGCTGTTCCATCCCATTACTTGAAAGTACCTTTTTTTGTTTGCCTCTCATATTTATATCTTTTCTGAATTTTTAATTGCTCGATCCCAATATATAAACACATCAGTTAATTTTATATGGTTTTAATATGCAGTTTTCTTGTTAAACTCCTATTAATTATAATACTTTTTGATAGATTGTTTTAGGTGTCCAATATGTATATTTTATCAGCTATAAATAATGATAGTTTGCTTTTTTCTTTTCCAATTCTTTTTTTTCCTCTTAATTTTATTTTTCTAGTGAAGATCTCTTGTACTCTATTAGAAACCATCCATAGGAACATGGGCATGTGTCTGTGCGCTACAATATTACCAATAGCAAAAAGTGCTTGTTGGTACATGGTACTGAAGTTCAGTGACTGTTTCTTTTTCTTCTCAACTATAGGATTCCTATCTGGCTTTTTTAATTGTGTCTATTTTTTTTATATTGTATTTGATGAGGCAATGCCATCAGGTCTTTAAATGGCTTCTTGTGGTTCTTTGAACATGTTTTCTTAATGTTTGTATTAAAATCCTTGCTTGTTAACACTCGCAGCTGAGCCATTTGATCTGTAATTTCTGTTGTATGTTCTCTTCCTATGATGGCCAAAACTTTCCTGAGCACTTTCTTGTGAATTTTTTTTTTTAATATCCCTTTACCTACTTTCAACACTCAGTTCTTGTCCAGAGTGATCATTTCCAACTATCATACTTGACCCTTCTCTATTTTAACTACCCTCCACCCTCCCAATTTAAAAAACAATTTAAAGTTATTTTTTAAAACAATTTTAACAATTTAATTGTTAACTTAAATTGTTCAATTTTTAAAACAATTTTAGCAATTTTTTTTAACAATTTAAAAATTGTTTTCAAACTATGTCTGTACACACAGCACACTGGGATGACAGTGGCTTTAGCAGGGCTTTCTTTTCACAACCAGTGGTACTCACAGCCTACTCCTGGATTTAGGAGTCACTCCTTACAGAGCTCAACAGGGCTGGCAGGCTTGGGAGACCAGGAATTGAATAATTGAATGATGGTTGGCCATGTGCATGACAAGTGCCCACTGGCTATACTTTGGCTTAGGCAACATAGCAAATCTTTCCTAATGGTCTCTCTGAACTCTGTTAAGCTACTTCTTTGTTGATTTGTTTTTAAAATACCTCCTTTTTTTTTTGTTTGTTTGCTTTGGTTTGCTTTGTTGTTACTGTGTTTGGCATATCACATGGGCTGGAGCGATAGCACAGCGGTAGGGCGTTCGCCTTACAAGCGGCCAACATGGCCGACCCGAGTTCGATTCCTCCGCCCCTCTCGGAGAGCCCAGCAAGCTACCGAGAGTATCTCGCCCGCACGGCAGAGCCTGGCAAGCTACTCGTGACATATTCGATATGCCAGACACAGTAATAACAAAGTCTCCAATGGAGACGTTACTGGGCCCGCTCGAGCAAATCGACGATCAACGGGAGGGCTTTTACCTTTACCTTACCTTTGGTTTGGTTTTGGGTTTGGCCACACCTTGCCATGCCCAGGGCTTACCTTTGTTTCTGTGCTCAAGATTCACTTCAGGCAAGGCTCAGGGTGCTGGGCATTAACCTAGGTTGGAAAGGATCAAGACAAACACCCTTCCTACTTAATACTATCTCTCCAGCCCCTGGATCTACTTCTTTTTGAATCACACTTAACAGTTAATTGCTAGTTGTATTTGGCAATGTCCCAGGCATAAATTTCTTCCGCACTCTAATTCAATTATGGTTAAGTTCTTTTTGCAGAAGTAGTCTTTTGAGTATGGTCTAGACATTAGTTCTGATCCCAGAGTGCTTTTCTAAATTGTCTCTAGTAAAATTGCTGTCATGGAACTACTACTAGCCTCCTCTTACCATCTAGTCATTGCTTTCAAGAGCACCTCCATGTTTGAGTTTTCTCACATTCATTTCCCCGAAAATACCTATTCCTTTGGGGACAGCTTTAAAGTTCTCCGTTGGAGTAGGCTTTTTATCTCACTGGGAAAATTTTCTGAGACTAGTCTGGAGCTGGGGAATGAATGTGGGCAGTGGCTTGTTTCACGTTATGAGCAAAGCCATCACGGGAACAGTATCCTATCATATGATACTCAGCTTCAGGCTTCCTCTCCTGACATGGATCTCCCAAGTGACCTGTGAGCTGGGGCAAGGACATTTGAGAGCTGGAAAAATCTGTTCCCAAAATGGTATCTTAAAGGAAGAAGAGAATGACAATTTCTTCCATCTCTAGACCACACTCACCTGAAATTTAGCATTTGCAGCAAGAAAACTAAGGATGAGAGATGCCTGCAGCCTATCCCTCCTAGATGTTGGGGAAAATGCAGCCTCATATCCTTGGCCACATCACCTCTACTGGAATTTTTATTACACTGAGCAGGGTTTGGTTGGCAGGCAGTTCAAGTGCTAATAACTCCTGCTGTTCTTATCAAGATTTAGTCTATTATGTTGAATAAATGATTCTTCGCTTGCTTACATTCCCTTTAGAAAATTTCAAAAAGTCTCTAAATGGTTATTTTGTAAAATTTTCATCAACTTTGGTTGTCTCACTGGTAAATTCATGGAGCGCCTCTTTTTAAAAGCAAACTCTGGATAGTTCTATTAGGAAAAACCATACACAATGAATTTTACCAAAGGAAACAATTTATACTAAAAATGTAAGATGTACCCATGTGTGGGAGTGCAGAGGCATAGTTATTTTTTCTAAACAAGACCTGTCTTTGTGCTTTACAACAAAATTGTGCAATTATTTCAATTACAAACAATTGAATGGAAAATCCATTGTCTATAAACTCCAAAGGATTCTTATTAGCTCTTCTCACATCAAACTCAAGATGTGGCTCACAATAAATTCAGAAAACACACTCGGGACAAAACCTCCCCAGGGGCCTGGACTTTTGATTAGTGCCATCAGATATATCTCAAAATGCTTTGAAGCAAAGGAGTAATTAGGGTATTTTAAGGGGATATATTTGTATATATGTAAACAAACAAGATTAAAAGATGGCTAATCTTGGGCTGGAGATTAGCCAGCACAGCAGGTAGGGTCTTTGAGCCTTGCATGTCTGTGACCCAAGTTGGATTCCCAGCATCCCATATTACTGAGCACCGCCAGGAGTAATTCCTGAGCACATGAGCCAGGAGTAATCCGTGTGCATCCCCAAGTGTGACCCAAAAAGCAAAAAAGAAAAAAAAAAGATGACTAATCTTTACAAATTTACACTACCCAAGCTCCAATGATCCATTCTACAAAATATGGCATTAACACTTGGGTAGGGCTGGAGCTGGAGTGATAGCAAGGCGGAAGGTTGTTTGCCTTGCACGCGGCCAGCCTGGGCTACCGTGGTTGGATTCCTCCGCCCCTCTCGAGCATAAGGATGAACAATGGGAGGACAGTGCTACAGTGCTACAACACTTGGGAATAAGTGAGTTTTCCAGCAACATACCATCTCTTATTCTTAGACTTCCTCCCGCCTCCCAGCATTCCAATATCCCTTAAGGAAGAAAAGGAAAGGCTGAGGACCTGCCATCAAAATCCTGCAAGTCACTGACGACA